TGCTGGTGGTTGACGACTACTCGCGTTACACCACAGTCTTCCCCTTGCGCAGCAAGGGTGATGTCACTGAGGTGTTGATTGACTGGATCCGCGCGGCTCGTCTCCAGCTCAGGAGGAGCTTCGGCTCGGACTTTCCTGTTCTGCGTCTGCACTCTGACCGAGGCGGAGAGTTCTCCTCTGGCCTTCTGCGAGCCTACTGTCGTGCACGAGGCATCCACCAGACCTTCACGCTTCCGGACTCTCCACAGCAAAATGGGATTGCTGAGCGCCGCATTGGCATGGTCATGGACGTCGCTCGTACGTCCATGATGCATGCGGCTGCCCCCCATTTTCTGTGGCCGTTTGCGGTTCGGTACGCGGCGCATCAGCTCAACCTTCACCCCAGGGTCTCCCGGCCGGAGACCTCCCCAGCTCTGCTGTGGACGGGGAAGGTCGGCGATGCGTCTGCGTTCCGTGTCTGGGGATCTCGGGCGTTTGTCCGCGACCTGTCTGCGGACAAGCTGTCCCCTCGTGCTACTCCCTGTGTCTTCCTAGGCTTCCCCCCTGATGCCCCAGGGTGGCAGTTCTACCACCCCTCCTCTCGTCGTGTTCTGTCCTCCCAGGACGTCACGTTCGACGAGTCCGTCCCCTTCTAACGCCTCTTCCCCTACCGCACTACTTCCCTCCTGCCGCCGCCGCACTTCCTTGTGCCAGGTCCCCCCCCGGTAGACCCCCTTCCCCCTCAGGGTCCTGCCCCTTCAGGTGTGTCCCAGGTTGATGCAGTCGAGCCGGTCGAGGTTGCTGGTGACTCAGGTACTGCTGGGGGTGCTGCGCCTGGGGGTGCTGAGCCTGGGGGTGCTGACTCTGGGGGTGCTGAGTCTGGCGGTGCTGAGCCTGGGGGTGCGGAGCCTGGGGGTGCTGCCTCTGGGGGTGCTGAGCCTGGGGGTGCTGTCTCTGAGGGTCCTGCGCGCGTGGGTGCTGAGCGTGGGGGTGCTGAGCCTGGGGGTGCTGCGTCTGGAGCTCCTGAGCCTGGAAGTGTGGAGCCTGCGGCCACTGGACCTCCCCTTGTGGCGTCTGGCGGTACTGGGCCTGGAGGTTCTCCGGGTGTTTCGTCTCGGCGGGAGCCACTCTCCCCACAGGAGTTGCGTGAGTGGTTTGCTCGCCGCTGGAGGCATACTGCTGGAGCTGGCGCTTCTTCGGCCACTGAGGGTGCTGGTGCCGCCGGTCCTGGAGCTGCTGGGCCTGCGGGTCCGCCTGGAGCTGGAGCTGTTGCGGGTGTTGGTTTTGAGACTACTCCTGTCCGTCCTTGTGGTGGTCGTGCTGCGGGTGCTGCTCGAGGTCCTGCCGCTGGACGTGCTTTTGGCGCTGGTGCTGCCGGAGGTGCTGAGGGTGCTGGTGCTGTCCCTGCTGTGTGTGGTGCCGCTGCGGGGCCTCGGCCGTACTTCGTTCCGCTCCTGCAGCAGGTTCTTGGTCTTCCTCCTCTCTTAGAGGGTCCACCGCGTGTCCAGTCGCAGTCACAGTTACCGCCGGCCTCCCCACTGCCTTCTCCCTCTCCCTACACTGGTCCTACTGGAGGTCTTGCTGAGCGTCGTGAGCCTGCGTCTCGTCCTGTGTCGCCTGTTCGTGCTGCTCGCACTAGTGGTCGCAGTTCGCGTCAGCGTCCTCCTCCTGTCCCTGGCACGCACCGGATGTCTCTGCGTCCGTCCACTGCTCCTCTGCGTGCCCCTTTGCCCTCTCCTCCTGAGTCCTCTCTTCCTGCGCTTGCCGACCCTGAGTCGGACTCTCTTCGTGCTGCCAGTTCTACTGTCACGCGTCTCCTTGCTACTGTCGTCACTGACCCCTCCTTTGAGTCCACTGCTGCGTCTGCTCTTGTTGCCGAGCTCGTCGACTTTGCTGCTCGCTGTCGTCTAGACTACGCTGCTAGTCTTGTTGCTGAGTCTGCGTCTGTCTGTCCTCCGTCCATCGGGGGTGAGTGTGCTCTTGGCACGGACGTCCTTGAGGACAGGCAGGAGGAGTTTCAGTGTCTGGCTGCTACTTCACCTCATCTCGCGTCTGTACTGCTTGCCCCTGAGGGAGACCCGGATGCACTAGACATCCCGACTCCGCGCTCTTACGCGGAGGCCGTAGAGGGTCCCTACTCCTCTCAGTGGCAGGCAGCTATGGATGCAGAGATGGCTTCCTGGAAGTCCACAGGCACCTACGTTGACGCTGTCCCCCCTCCTGGGGCGAACATTGTCAGTGGGATGTGGATCTTCAGGGTGAAGCGGCCGCCGGGCTCTCCACCTGTCTTCAAGGCGCGGTACGTGGCTCGTGGCTTCAGTCAGCGGCAGGGAGTTGACTACTTTCAGACCTTCTCTCCCACCCCGAAGATGACCACTCTTCGGGTGCTGCTGCACATAGCCGCTCAGCGCGACTACGAGCTCCACTCTCTTGACTTCAACACTGATTTCTTGCAGGGTAGCCTGCACGAGGAGATCTGGCTGCGCCGTCCACCTGGCTTCACTGGGACTTTCCCTCCTGGCACCCAGTGGAGCCTCCGACGGCCAGTCTACGGTCTCCGCCAGGCACCGCGTGAGCGGCACGACACACTGAGGACTACGCTTGCGGCTCTTGGGTTTGCTCCCTCTACTGCTGACCCGTCGTTGTTTCTGCGCACCGACACTTCTCTGCCGGCGTTCTACATCCTCGTGTACGTCGACGACTTGGTCTTTGCCACAGCGGACACTACTGGACTCGCCTACGTGAAGTCCAAGTTGCAGAAGAGACACACGTGCACAGACCTGGGTGAACTGCGCAGCTACCTTGGCTTGCAGATCACTCGGGACAGAGCACGCCGCACCATTACCTTGACTCAGACACCGACCAGAGCACATGGCTGCAGCGAAGAGGGTGTTGCGCTACTTGTGCAGTATGTCGGGCATGGGGCTAGTGCTTGGAGGGCGGAGTCCAGTGGTGCTCACTGGGCACGCGGACGCTTCTTGGGCTGACGACCAGGCTACGCAGCGGTCGTCGTAGGGTTACACCTTCAGTCTTGGTTCCGGCTCTGTTTCGTGGCGAGCTACTCGCTCGTCTTCGGTTCTCGGCTCCAGTTGTGAGGCTGAGATCTACGCCGAGGCCATGGCTGCTCAGGAGCTTCGCTGGCTCACCTACCTGCTGACTGACCTTGGAGAGCCGCCTCGTTCTCCTCCAGTGCTGTACGTAGACAACAAGGCCATGCTGGCCTTGTGTCGAGAGCAGCGCTTGGAGCACAGAACGAAGCACATTGCTCTCCGCTACTTTCTTGCTCGTGAGTTGCAGCAGCGTGGTCAGTTGCGACTTGCGTACGTGGCCTCTGAGGCCAACACTGCTGATGTTTTCACCAAGGCACTTCCGCCTTGTGATCATCAGCGTTTCTGCACTCAGCTGGGACTTGTCCCAGTCTTGCCTCACTTGCTCACCTCTTGACCTTGCTTGTACTCTTGCATATATATATACCTGCTCTTGCTTGTTTAGACTTATATATATATGTGTCTCCTCCTGCTTGTGAACTGGCCTTGTGGCCTTGACCTTGTGCTCAGACTGTGTGGTGACGTTGTGATCCACCCTGAGCTTGCTTTGCTTTGCTTTGCTTGACTGGTCTTGTGACCCCTTGTTCTCCCCCACTTTGCCTATGGGGGTGTGTCAGATCATTATAGCTTATGCTTTTGTGTAGGCTATAGTGGGGTATCCCATAGGGGGTACAACCCAATTAGGGTTAGTACTTGTACCCACTTCATTCATAGTCCATTTCATTCTCGTTCTCATTCTCACAGGACGCTCCTTGCGCATGCGAAATTGCGTCCCCTCGCCGACCTGGGCCAATGGACGCGAGGTCGACGCCCCGCCGTAGCGGAGTCGGACCACCTGTCCCACTTGCGCATGCGCCCTCAGAGCCCTGCCGAGCCAGGCCCCACACCCTTGGGCGACGCTGAACGGGGATGCGGTGGGCCACCGTCTCCTTTTCTTTGTGGATGGTGGCCTCGCTCCCCATTTTCCGCATTTTGTTTCGCTCCTCCTTTTCTCCTTTTTTCCTCCTTTCGTAGCTCTGTGCGGCCATCGTGATATCGCTTCCCCTTAGTCGATATGGACCCTAGCCCCGACGCCGATTACTCGGCGCCGAATTCGGCTGACTTCCCTCTTCGTCACCCAATGGGTCGTGGTCTCAGCTTCACTCTAGAGTGGGAAGATTTCTTAGTTCTTCGCAACCACAAGATAGAGTTCAACGACGGATGTTTGGGTTTCGGCATCAGGTAGGACTCCAGTAGTCGGCGCCGACTATAGAGGGTTAGTGTTGATGTCGGCGTAGTGGCCTTCTGATTTACGTCGACGTGCGCGGTATTAGGCATAGACCCCCTCCAGGAACGTCGGCCACCTTAGGAAGCGTCGACCACACGCAGTCGCCCTGTGTACATTTTGGCGTTTGCTCAACCGCCCTTGTATGAACCTCCTTGCCCAATCGTGCCGTCAGGTTCGCGTGGTCCCGACTTGGGATCGACAACCAGCGTTTGTGGGTAATCGGAGTCGGCACGCTTCGATCGGCCATGAAGGAGGCCGACCATTCATGCTTTGCTGCGGTCTTCGACGCCGACATCGCCGCTATCCCGTTAAGAACGATGTGAGCTGTTTCACCGTTGATCAGTTGTCGTTTTTTGTTGTCGCGACATCGCGTGGTGTTGTGATCGACGCCGTCGTGAATTGCATGTGCAGCCTCGGTCCGCTTCCAAGAACGCACTGCTGGGTCATTGCCATCCTATACCCTGGAGATCTCTTGAAGGCTGAGGGACATGTGTGCAGGACCTCAATCCGGCACATCGACCCGTAGACCGGTAAAGGGTATCACCGCGACGAGGCCGCCCGCGTGCTAAAGTAAGTGCTGAATTGTCGTCGATGACCCGCTTGTTAGTCGGCGACACAGGGTATCACACGCTGACCGCCTCCCTCCACCGCGGTGCTTCAGGTTCTTCCGCACGGCTGTCCTTGCCGAGCTGGGGCGTCTCGGTAGGATGTGGGACTGGGCGCCGCTATCACAAGCAGTGGTGGAGGTCAGGCTGGCTGACTGCGACCACCCTATCCGCGATGTGAGTTGCACGTTCAAGTAGTAAGGGGGGTGCCCGTTTCTGAATGCTCCGCTCATCATGTTCCGTGCTTGTACGCAGAAAGTGCAGGGCACAGTGTCGGACGGGCATGTCAGTGCCGGCGTGCTTTCCGCGACATCATTCGGGTGGGTAGCGGAACAGATCGACCATCTGACAGGCGAGAAGGGTCGTAGTGGGGTGAGCATCGAGAGCGTCGGGATGAAGGAGCTGAAGGCTTTGCGCGACAGCATGGTTGAGTACGTCGGCAAGGTCATTGCCGTAAAACGCACCGCGGCGCCGAATTCTCAAGCCGCCGGACCCGCCGACAGTGCCATTGATGACGACGGCGCGGAAGGACAGAAGGCGCCCCAAGGTCCAGTTGCCGCCCAGCATCAGGGGAACGCGAGGGTGCATGGGGAAGGTGGAAACGGTGGAGGAGGCGACGCAGAGGCAGGTGCAGGAAGGTTGGAAACGGAGAAGTCGTCGTCGTCGTCTGAGTCGGAGTCGGAGTCGGAGGAGGAAGACGAGGCGGTGAAGCGTAAGGTCGAGGAGGAGGAGGAGGAGGAGGAGGAGGAGGAGGAGGAGGATGAGGAGGAGGAGGAGGAGGAGGAGGAGGAGGAGAATAAGGACGAGAATGGTGAGAAGTGGGAGGGAGGGGATGAAGAGGTGGAGCTCGTGGTGGAGTATGTAGAGGGTACGGTTGAGGCGGGAGCGGCGGAAGAGGCGGTGGGGTCGGCAGATCAGGGGAATGAGGAAGAGAAGGATGACGGCGCGGGAAATGCTACGAGGTCGGCAGATGTGGGGAAGGAGAAGGGCGAGGTCGGCGTGGAGGCAACGACGGGAAATGGCCAGGATGAGGCGGCCTGCGAGGGAGGTGGGAAGGTGTCGGTCGGCGCCGGCGAAGGGGCGAACAACACGGGCGTGCAGGAGACCGGGGAAGCACCTGGTCGGCAGGGCCCTGAACTGGACGACGTTGAGGAGCTGCGACGGGAGAACTGGTTGGTGCGGGCGGAGAACGCTCGGCTGGCAATGTTGCTCGATGCGGAGCGGGCTCGGCTGGTCGGGCTTTTTGTTGGGGTCAGTGGACTCGTCGACCACGTTAAAGGGTTGGCCGAGCAGGTCGACGACACCGAGAAGTATGCCGCGGAACAGCTGCGAAACGCGACGGAGGCCATGTCGAAGACCATCACGGGCAATATCACCGGCAGCTTTGACGAAGCGTGGAAGTCGATGAAGACATTCGCGGAACAGGCGACGGAGTGGTTGGAGGACTTCGACAATCCGGAGGGTCGTGTCGCATATGCACGGGCGGTAGCGGTCTCCGCCTTGGCCGAACACGTAGATTCGGTGGTGGGCGATGCGAAGAAGGGGTTGGAAGAGTACGTCTCGAACCACCTTGCCTCCGCGCAGGTCAACATCGCCACCGCTGTGACCGCTAGGCTCGCCGTGCCGCCGCCGCCACCGCCTCATCCCACGCCGCCCGCCATCCCGGAAGAGCTTTTGAAGTCGTTCAAGGCCGACATCATGAAGGCGGTGACGGAGGCCACCCAGCAGTCTTTCGTTGCTTCCGGGATGAAGATGATGACAGAGATGATCGGCACTGTGGCGCCAGGTCGACGTGGGTCGTCGCCTTCGGCCAATGACGCCGATAACGCGCAAAGAAAAACGGCCGAGAAGAAGGGCCATAAGAGGACGGGCGACAAAGACGACAAGGAGAGCTCGAAGCGGAGCAAGGGAGCGGACGGTAGCCGCGGGTCGAAGCCTGCGCAACAGAGCGTGGTCGACCAGCTGAAGACGAAGGCGGGGTGGAAGGTGGTAAGGACGTCGCACAGCAAGGGAGGCGGAAGCGGGGGAGCAGAGGGTGGCCCTGCCGACGGGGTTGCCGCTAACGTAGCTGCTCCGACTGGCCCGCCTTTGGTCGCCGAGCAGACCCATCCTCAGGCGAGCGGTGGGAAAGGCGTGACCGACAAGGAGGTGCTAACTGCTTAGGCGGCGAATGATGGCGACTCCGGAACCACCAAGGGACCGTCCGTCGCGGCGGCGGCCAAGCCTGCTTCTGCTACGGTTGCCAGCACCACCAAGTCGAGTCCCCGTAACCCCCTTGCGGCTACCAGCGCGCTTGTCGGCCAGTCAGGTGCGAAAAAAGATGGGGAGCCTGCTCCAGCTCCAGCAGCCCCGGCTGCCGCCAAGGGCGTCGCGAAGGCTGCTTCGGCTAAGGGTGATGCCGTGGCATCAGCTAAGGCCCCCCCCGGTGGTACCGCGCTCAGAGAGATGCTCCGCCGCATGGAGGCACATAGCAGGGACGTGCAGCAGCATCCCGTGGTCGACGCCGGCCTTCCTGGAACAGCACGTTGCTCCGTCACTACGCAGGTTGCCGGCAAGTCGTCTGGTGCCCCACCTGCCGCGCCTCCGGTGGCCGCCCCACCGCCTGCGGACCCCAAGTCCGCTTTTCTTCGCTCCCATTTAGGCGCACGCAAAGCGGCTGCTCCGTCAGTGACCCTGCCGGAACTCGGCAAAAGCGCGACGCCGACGTCGGTAAACGCGATCGCACCCACACCAGGTGCATCTGTGGTCGATGTGGCGGCGGAGAAGGGAGTGAGTGCAGCGCTCGCCACCGGCGGCCGCGCAGACAAGCATGCCAACCTCGCTGTCTTCATGGCCCATTTTGAGGCAGCAAAGCGCCCCGAGCACGCCCCTGTTATGGCCATCATGGACACGGCGCATGTGGTGCCGTCGGCGGCCCACGGAGGGGGTTCGGCCGCTAGTAGACGGCCGCTACGGCTGCTGTCGCCGAGAGAAATGCTAGACGGAAGGAAAAGGACAACAACGGGAAAGGGAAGGCGGTCTCTCAGAGGAGGCCGCGGGCGATGTCTGCGGGGAAGTTGATGTCAGAAGAGAAAGGGAAGAAGGCGGAAGGGGAGCAGGACAAGACGGGCGGCAAGGGTAAGCCGGCGAAGAAGAAGGAGAAGGCGGAGGAGGAGGACGAGGAGGGCGGCGAGGGAGATAAGGAGCATGGACGCAGGGGTCATGGCATCCGCCGAGACAAGGCTGGCGACGGGCAAGGGTGGGTGGGCGAGATTAAGGTAAACGGGCAGAATCGGTACATCGGCAAGTCGAGGGAGAAGATGGAGCTGGCCTACGAGCACGCGATTGCGTTCGTCGTCTACGACGGCTACGTGAGCAAGGTGCTCATGAAGGAGCTCACCGTCTTGAAGCCGGGGGAGTTGGATAAATGGAAGGAGGTATGGGCGGAGGTCAAGTTCTTGCCGACGGGGATGTGGACGGTGATGTGGGCAAGAGGCTTGTGCCATCCGAGAGCACGGTAAGACGGATCCTGACGTGCCGAGTTCTGTCGACCAAGTCGTGTCATTACGCTGATGTTGACGAAGTTGTGTCGTTCTAATGTGTTTGCGCGGCAGGTTCGACGACATACTCGGCAGGTACCGTGGGTACGCAAGTTCGGGTGATGCGATTCATGACGTGCTCTGGCCGGCGATCTGGTTCCCCATCATCGAGGACACGGAGGAAGGCAAGGAAGAGACAGACGCTCTCATGTCGGCGATGGTAAATCGCGTGTCGATGTGCGCGGCGTATGGGAAGGTCGCGGCGAGCGCGGCGTTTGGGAAGGTCGATGCGAGCGTGGAGGGGAAGGCGTGTCAGAACATTATAGCTTACTTATTTGTGTAGGCTATAGTGGGGTATGCCATAGGGGGTACAACCCAATTAGGGTTCATATTTGTACTCACTTCATTCATAGTTCAATTCATTCTCGTTCTTTCTTTCACATGGAATCAGAGCAGGTTCCCTCCTAGGGACTGCTTCTAGGGCCCACCGAAGTGCGCCCCGAGGCGCGTTTTCCTTTTTTTTTGCGACCCGTTGTGTCGCCCCCAGCGGCCCGTCGCGTCGCCCTTCCCTTAGCGGCCCCGCCGCCCTTCGATCGCGGCTCCGCCGCGCTTCCTTAGCGGCCCCGCCGCCCTTCGATCGCGGCCCCGCCGCCCTTCGATCGCGGCTCCGCCGCCCTTCCTTAGCGGCCAGGCCGCCCTCTGCTAAGCGGCCCCGCCGCCCTTCGATTGCGGCCCCACCGCCCTCTGCTAAGCGGCCCCGCCGCCCTTCGATCGCGGCCCCGCCACCCTCTGCTAAGCGGCCCCGCCGCCCTTCGATCGCGGCCCCGCCGCCCTCTCCTAAGCGGCCCCGCCGCCCTCTGCTAAGCGGCCTCGCCGCCGCGTCGCCCGTGCACCTGCCCGTGCACCCGCCCGTGCACCTACCCGTGCGGCCGCCAGTGCAGCCGCCCGTGCGCAGCCTACGAGCCGCCCCAGCCGCCCGTGCATCGCCCGTGAGCCGCCCCAACCGCCCGTGCAGTCGCCCGCGAGCCGTCCCAGCCGCCCGTGCGGCCGCCCGCGAGACGCCCGCGCCGCCCGAGCCGCCCGAGCCGCCCGCGAGACGCCCGCGCCGCCCGAGCCGCCCGAGCCGCCCGCGAGACGCCCGCGCCGCCCGAGCCGCCCGAGCCGCCCGAGCCGCCCGAGCCGCCCGTGCCGCCCGAGCCGCCCGAGGAGCCGATCTTCTGCTCCTGTGAGGCTCCTACTGCTCCTGGGCCGGCGCAGCTGCTGTGCTGCCGTGTTGCTGTGTCGCTGTGCTACCCGACTCTTCCTGCCCGGTGAGACTGTCAGCTGCTACAATGGCCACCCCCAGTGTCCTAACTTTTGACGCTGAGGGTCGCGCCATTGACTTTGCAGTCTGGATTGAGGACCTGCAGCTGTACTTACTGTGCGATGCGATCAATGAGGTTTCTCTCTTTGACTTTGTCTCTGGCGCTGTCCCTGCCCCTCCTGCTGATGCTGACCCCACTGTTCGCTCCAAGTGGGCCACACGCGATGCTGCTGCACGTCTTGCAGTGCGTCGCCACCTCCCTTCCTCCGAGCGTGCACACTTTAGTCAGTGCAAGACCGCTCAGGCCTTGTACGACGCTGTAGTTACGCGCTACTCCTCCCCTTCCACTGCTACACTGAGCCGCCTCATGCTACCGTACCTCTTCCCTGACCTCGCTGCCTTTCCCACAGTCACTGACCTCTTTACCCACCTTCGCGCTAGTGACACTCGCTACCGAGCTGCGCTTCCTGCTGCCTTCCTCGCCGAAAACCCCCCTCCCATGTACATCACCCTCTACTTTCTTGTCACCCGTCTCCCTGAGTCCCTTCGTGCTGTTAGGGACCAGTTTCTCTCTGTCTGTCCCACCACCCTCACTGTCGACCTCCTTGAGAAGTCCCTGCTAGCGGCCGAGAAGAGCATAGTCGCTGTAGGGGCCTCTCGTGGTGACCCGCGCACCCCCATCTTTGAGGGGTGTTCTCCTTCCCCCCTGCTACCCTCTGTCGCCTCTGCTGCTGCGGCCGACCTCGTTGGTTTAGAGTCGGTCGGTGCGGCGTCTGCCCCCAGCGGTCGGCGCCGCTCTGGCAGGAGCAAGGGGGGCAAGGGAGCGGGTGGAGCTAGCGGGGGCGGTGGCGGAGGAGGTGGGGGCGGCGGGGGGAGTGGGGGTGGCGGTGGGGATGGAGGCGGGAGTGGAGGTACTGGTGGCGGCGGTGGAGGCGGAGGTGGCGGCGGAGGTGGTGGCGGAGGAGGCAGTGGGAGCGGCGGGGGCGAGGGTGGCGGTGGCGGCGGAGGCGGGGGTGGCGGTGGTGGAGGTGGTCGGAGTGGCTCGTCCCAGAGGAGCGGCACTGGGGGTGGTCAGCGCCAGCAGCAGCAGCAGCAGCAGCAGCACTCTCGCGACGTCCCCGCCCCTCAGCAGCTCCGTGAGTGGTACTCGCAGCGTCAGCGTGGTGGGGCGTTCGGTCCCTACACCTACGTCCTTCGCACCGGCGACCGCGCGGGTGAGTAGTGTGGGGGCACCCACACCGCTCGTCGCTGCTTTGCCCGCCTGACCGACGCTTGGCGCCAGCAGTTTCCGGAGGCCTCTGAGATCCCCCGCTGGGGAGAGCTGTCTCGGGCTGGTGTAGCTGTGTTTGATCTTGACTTTGATGCTATCCTTGCTGCCATGTATGCTGTGACTGTTAGTGATTATGGTGACTGTTACCGGTGCTTTCCGCCCGACCCGGGCATTGGTACTGCTCTGTCAGGTGCCAGTGAGGCTGCTGCTCTAGGTGCCAGTGCGTCTGTGCTCTCAGGTGCTAGTGAGTCTGCCCTCTCAGGTACTGTGTCGGCTTCTGCCTCCCACACCTTCACCCTTGACTCTGGGGCGTCTCGCTCCTTCTTTCGGGACCGCACCACTCTCACGCCGCTTAGTCGGCCGGTTGCGGTGTCCCTGGCTGACGCCTCTGGGGGTCCTGTCCTGTCTCGTTTCTCCACAGTCCTCCCGTGTCCGGCGGCTCCCTCTGGCACCCTGACTGGTCTTTACCTCCCCTCGTTCTCTACGAACCTGGTGAGTGGTGCTGACCTACAAGATGTGGGGGTCCACCAGTTCACTCCTGCTCGTCAGCGGGTGACACACTGCACAGAGGCTAGCACAGGTCGCCACCTGGCTACGTTTACACGTCAGCCAGGGTCGAGCCTGTACACACTGACCACTGCTTCTCCTCCCGGTGCTGAGTCTGGTAGAGTCCCTTCGTCTGGTCAGGTGCTTGCTGCAGCGTCCAGGTCTGGTCCTGAGTCTGCCCCCTGTTCGTGTCGCCGTCTGTCTCACGAGACTCTCCTCTGGCACCACCGCCTTGGCCACCCCTCTCTGCTTCGGCTCAGAGGCATGGCCTCCCGTCTTCTTGTGTCTGGTCTCCCCCGGTCCCTCCCTCCCCTTCCTCAGGGCCCTGGCCCTGCCCCTATCCCCTGTGTCGAGGGGCGCCAGCGTGCTGCCCCTCACTCCTCCCAGTTTCCTCCGACAGAGGCTCCGTTGCAGACGCTTAACATGGACGTGTGGGGCCCTGCCCGCGTCCGTGGATAGGGTCACGAGCGCTACTTCCTGTTGGTGGTTGACGACTACTCGCGTTACACCACAGTCTTCCCCTTGCGCAGCAAGGGTGATGTCACTGAGGTGCTGATCGACTGGATCCGCGCAGCTCGTCTCCGGCTCAGGCAGAGCTTTGGCTTGGACTTTCCTGTGTTGCGTCTGCACTCGGACAGAGGCGGAGAGTTCTCCTCTGGCCTTCTGCGTGCCTTCTGTCGTTCGCGAGGCATCCGCCAGACCTTCACGCTTCCGGACTCACCGCAGCAAAATGGGATTGCAGAGCGCCGCATTGGCATGGTCATGGACGTCGCTCGTACGTCTATGATGCATGCGGCTGCCCCCCATTTTCTGTGGCCGTTTGCGGTCAGGTACGCGGCGCATCAGATCAACCTTCACCCCAGGGTCTCCAGGCCGGAGACCTCCCCAGCCCTGCTGTGGACGGGGAAGGTTGGCGATGCGTCGGCGTTCCGAGTCTGGGGATCTCGGGCGTTTGTCCGCGACTTGTCTGCCGTCAAGCTGTCCCCTCGCGCTGCTCCTTGCGTCTTCCTGGGGTTCCCCCCCGACGCCCCTGGGTGGCAGTTCTACCACCCCACCTCTCGACGTGTTCTGTCCTCCCAGGACGTCACGTTCGACGAGTCGGTACCCTACTACCGCCTCTTCCCCTACCGCACTCCTTCCCTTTCCCCGCCCTCGCTCTTCTTGGTACCAGGTCCCCCCCCGGTAGACCCCCTCCCCCCTCAGGGTCCTGCCCCTTCAGGTGTGTCCCAGGTAGACGCGGTCGAGCCTGTCGAGGTCACTGGTGACTCTGGTGCTGCTGCGGGAGCTGAGCCTGGGGGTGTTGAGCCTGGGGGTGCGGAGTCTGGGGGTGCTGAGCCTGGGGGTGCTGAGCCTGGGGGTGCTGAGCCTAGGGGTACTGAGTCTGGGGGTGCTGAGCCTAGGGGTGCTAAGTCTGGGGGTGCTGAGCCTGGGGGTGCTGCGAGTGGGGGAGCTCTGCCTGGAGGGGCCTTGCCTGAGGGTGCTGAGCCTGGAGGTTCTTCGCCTGGAGGTTCTCCGCCTGGAGGTGCTTCGTCTCGCCGAGAGCCACTCTCCCCACAGGAGCTGCGTGAGTGGTTTGCCTGGCGCTGGAGGCATACTGCTGGTGCTGGAGGTTCTTCGGCTGCAGAGGGTGCTGCTGCCGCGTGTCCCGGAGGTGCTCGTGCTGTGGGTGCTGGAGCTGCTGGGCCTGATGGTTCTCCTGGAGCTGGTGCTGCTGAGGGTGTTGGTGCTGAGACTACTGGTGGCAGTCCGACTGGCAGTGCTCCTAGTGCTGCTGGGAGTTCTGGAGCTGCTGCTGGTGCTGCTGGAGGTGCCGCTGGAGGTGCTGCTGGAGCGGGTACTCCTGCTTGGGGTACTGGTGCTGTCCCTGCTGTTTCTGGCGTCGCCACGCGGCCCCGACCGTCTGTACTGCTCGCCCCTGAGGGAGACCCGGATGCACTAGACATCCCGACTCCGCGCTCTTACGCGGAGGCGATAGAGGGTCCCTACTCCTCTCAGTGGCAGGCAGCTATGGATGCAGAGATGGCTTCCTGGAAGTCCACAGGCACCTACGTTGACGTTGTTCCCCCTCCTGGGGCGAACATCGTCAGTGGCATGTGGATTTTCAGGGTGAAGCGGCCGCCGGGTTCTCCGCCTGTCTTCAAGGCGCGTTACGTGGCTCCTGGCTTCAGTCAGCGGCAGGGAGTTGACTACTTTCAGACCTTCTCCCCCACCCCGAAGATGACCACTCTTCGGGTACTACTGCACGTTGCTGCTCACCGTGACTACGAGCTGCACTCTCTCGACTTCAGCACTGCTTTCTTGCAGGGCAGCCTGCACGAGGAGATCTGGTTGCGTCGCCCGCCTGGCTTCACTAGGTCTTTCCCTCCTGGTACCCAGTGGAGTCTCCGGCGTCCAGTCTACGGTCTCCGCCAGGCGCCACGTGAGTGGCACGACACACTGAGGACTACGCTGGCGGCACTTGGGTTTGCTCCTTCTACTGCCGACCCGTCGCTGTTTCTGCGCACCGACACCTCTCTGCCGCCGTTCTACATCCTCGTGTACGTCGACGACTTGGTCTTTGCCACAGCTGACATTGCTGGACTCGCCCACGTGAATTCCGAGCTGCAGAAGAGACACACGTGCACTGACCTGGGTGAACTGCGCAGCTACCTTGGCTTGCAGATCACCCGGGACAGAGCACGCCGCACCATTACCTTGACTCAGTCACACATGGTGCAGTAGGTCCTTCAGCGCTTCGGCTTCACGTACTCCTCGCCTCAGCCCACTCCTCTGCCTACTCGTCACTCGCTCTCAGCTCTGCCTTCGGATGAGTCCGTAGAGTCGAGTGGCCCGTATGCAGAGCTTGTTGGCTGCCTCATGTACCTGATGACCTGCACACGACCTGACCTTGCATACCCTCTTAGCATTCTCGCACGCTATGTTGCTCCTGGGAGACACCGACCAGAGCACATGGCTGCAGCGAAGAGGGTGTTGCGCTACTTGTGCAGTACGTCGGGCATGGGGCTAGTGCTTGGAGGGCGCAGTCCAGTGGTCCTCACAGGGCACGCGGATGCTTCTTGGGCTGACGACCAGGCTACGCAGCGGTCGTCACAGGGTTACACCTTCAGCCTTGGTTCCGGCTTTGTTTCGTGGCGGGCTACCCGCTCGTCTGCTGTTCTCGGCTCCAGTTGTAAGGCTGAGATCTACGCCGGGGCTATGGCTGCTCAGTAGCTTCGCTGGCTCACCTACCTGCTGACCGACCTTGGAGAGCCGCCTCGTTCTCCTCCAGTCCTGTACGTAGACAACAAGGCCATGCTGGCCTTGTGTCGAGAGCAGCGACTGGAGCACAGGACAAAGCACATTGCTCTCCGCTACTTTCTTGCTCGTGAGCTACAGCAGCGTGGATAGTTGCGACTTGCGTACGTGGCCTCTGAGGCCAACACTGCTGATGTCTTCACCAAGGCACTTGCGCCTTGTGATCATCAGCGTTGCTGCACGCAGCTGGGTCTTGTGCCTGTCTTGCCTCACTTGCTCACTTCTTGACCTTGCTTGTACCTTGACCTATATATACTCTTGCTCTTGTTTGCTTGACTCTTGTATATCTCTATATATGATCTTGCATGTGAACTGGCCTTGTGGCCCTTGAACTTGTGCTCGGAATGTGTGGTGACTTTGTGATCCACCCTGAGCTTTGCTTTGCTTTGCTTGACTGGTCTTGTGACCCCTTGTTCTCCCCCACTTTGCCTATGGGGGTGTGTCAGAACATTATAGCTTACTTATTTGTGTAGGCTATAGTGGGGTATCCCATAGGGGGTACAACCCAATTAGGGTTTCATATTTGTACTCACTTCATTCATTGCTCAATTCATTCTCGTTCTTTCTTTCACAAGGCGGACGAGAAGACGGAGATGGGGGCCCAGGCGTTAGCGCCATCGGCATGCGCCATCTGGTGCTTCTTGGAGACGGGGGCGTCGGTGCTCGGTGCTGTGGGCGGAGGGAAGGTGGCGGCGATGGTGGCAGGTGCGGGGGAGGCGAGGGCCGAGGACTTCAAGGAGGTGATGCACGCGGTGATCGACATAGCACGCATTAGGCAGGCTCCCGCTGGGGAGGTTGCACATAACGTCGCGCCATCGCTGCAGAGCCAGGCAGTGGCCAGGGCCTTCGCGAAGGGAGTTGAGGAAGTCGAGGCCGACATGATCGCAAGAGCGACGGTCGAGACCTTGGCGTTCTGGGGAATGTGTCCCGTCGCCGGGCCCAAGCTCAAAGCGCAGGGCATCGATGTGCCGTGTGACGCGAGGATGGAGTACGATATGGATCACAGGGGGAGGAAGGGGGAGAAGGTCAAGCAGAGCAAGGGCAGCAGCAAGAGGAAGAAGGGCAAGCAGGGCAAGGGCAGTACGGATGCGTAGTTGGCGGGCTGTGGTGTGCAGGGTACTATTGTATGGTCGGCGCCGATGTCGTAGTAATTCTAATGACTTTTGTATCGTAGGGCACGAATCTTTTTTGTTTTTTAGTAAATCACTGTCCACATTGAAACTTGCTAGCCGACTTTGAACGATGTGCCTTGTCGGCGCATATGCCGACATCAAAAGGAACATGCTACTCAGCGAGCAGCGATGATAGAGAAGGTAGACACATGCTACTCCGCGACGAGTTCTGTCGGCGAATATGTCGACACCCTAGCAACATGCAATCCTGCGAGACGTCGACATCGAGCTGTGTTTAGATGTCAGCAAGGATAGTATTTTTGTTTCTTACTGAGCGATCGACTACATTTAACACAGCAGGACCCAGTAGGTTCGCAAGGGCCTTGCAGTGGGTTGTTACAAACTACCGGAACAGCATTTGGAAAAAGAAGGGAAGGGGGTGGGGGGGGGGGGGGGGGGGGGGTACAAATCTGCCACAGTTAACAGCATCGAACTATGCACATGCATATCCTACAGGCGCGATCATGCCGACTTCTTGTGCTTGGTCGGAGGACGGTGCACCGGAGCGGTCGGCTTGGCCGGTGCTGTCGACTTGGCCGGGGCCGTCGGCTTCGCCAGGTCGGCCTTGGTCTTCGGCATCTGCTCCTCCCACGTGTCTGGAAACAGGGTTTCGACCCAATCACTCTGCTTCAAGTTGAGCGCCACAAGCGCACAGGCGAGGCGTAGCTTCGACACCACCTTGGGGCCCAGCCCCTTGACTCCCAAACCAGGCTCTTTGGACAACATCGGTGCCGTTCCCGGTTTGAGCACCGTGAGGGCATCGGCGAAGGTCCCGATGCCCGATGCCGCGATCCTATGCAGTGTGTCGACCACGGCCTCGGTGTTGGCGTCGCCGTCGCTCGCGCGTAGCTGGCGCACCGCATCCATGACCTTCAGCATGCGGCGCACCTTCTTGTTGAGTGCACCCTGTGTCGCGCCGGCGAGGAGGGTGTGGCGGTCGATGAACCCCGGCTCGGCCATCCTGTCGCGAAGCCGACGGGTGTCATTAGCGGTGGCGGAGTTCCAGAGGCGCTAGGCGTCCCTCACGGTCTTGGCCTCCCGCCACGGTTGTACCACGTTGAGCTCGTAACTAGCCTCCACGTCCGTCTGTGGGGGTGGCGGGGGTTTGTCGTCCCCTCCGTCGGCGCCGGCTCCCATGTTGGCCGAATCCGCCGAGCCACCCTCGCTAGGAGCTTGCGCGGTAGCACACGGCGGGGCCTCCGGCACTCTCCGTGCTTCTGACACCCGGAGTGCCTCGGTGAGACGGGTTATCTCGGCGGTGAGAGACGCGATGGTGTCGTCGCGCTTCTCGAGCTCCTCCAGGAAGTCAATCTTCTCGTTCGCGGCACGCTCCATCTCCTTTGTCAGCTTCGCCTTGAGGGATATGTTGTAGTACTCGGTGTCCATGCGGACAGAGATTTCCTGCAGCGGTAGGACAAAGACGTTAGCCGCTCGGTGGTTTGGAATGCCCTATAGCCAGCTCGTCGTCGACTTACCTCTTCCTGAATTTGGGTCGGGTCCCGACGCTTGTTGATCGTCTCGGTGTCGACCCTCTCGACCCGTTTCGCCCAGTGCTGGAAGGGGGATCCGGCAGAGCAGGGAGCCTTGGACGTACGGGTGCCATGGTGTACGGACCAGCTTCACCGCTAGGTCCTCGGCGACGATGCGGCGCAGCATCTGGAGTGTGCGCCAGAAGTGCACCGCGGCTTTGTCGGCGTCGGACCCCTCGGCAGCCTTCCCTTCCGCCTGCAATTCGTCACGTGTATTAGGAGTTCAGACACTGTCGGCAACACGACTCGGAAACAAGGATACGAGGGCGTCGACTAACATATCGTCTTCAGCATGTCGTCGACGCCGGGGAAGATGTGCTCGGCGAGGAGCTTCAAGAGCTTATCGGAGGGCTCCACCCTGCTCCGGCCCAAGAAGTAGTCCTGCTTGTAACCAGAGTAACCGGCCTTCTTCATCACCACCCCCACCGGAATGGCGGTGATGTACGCTCGCGTCATCTTGTCGAGCGCCCAGTGACCCAGCTCCGCGATCTCGGCGCGCGGCGTGCCGTCGATGGCCAGCTCCTGGGCCCCTCCGGCTCGAGCGGCGTGCACGTTCCTCTTGCAGAAGACCCCGTTTTTGTCCCACAACTGCCGTTTCCAGCGTTGGTGGCTTGCCGCAGAGAGCTCCCCTTGGTCGGTGTCGTTTTTGGCGAAGAAGAGGTGCTTCTTGTACCAGCTCGCGCGTGTGCTGGTGTCCACCGGCGGAATGAGGCGGACGCTGTGAAACTGGCCGATCTGGTCGAGGATGAAGTGCAACCACAGGCCCGTCTCGCCAACGGCGCACAACTCCGCTTCGAGGTGCCGCGCAGCGTAGCTCTGCTGCAGACGCGCATCCTTGGACGTCTTCGAGTTCCGCGCAGCGATGACCATGACGACCGGCTGGTTCTCCGGGTTCACCGACGAGGTGCTCGCCAGTCGGTACAAGAATATGTCGGGGAGCGTGATCTCGCGGATGCTTGCACCGCGCAGAAGAGAGTGGTGGGAGAGTAGCGTGAGCACCTTCAACAGCAGAAACCGCCATAGCGTCTGCGACGGGCCCGTACCCCGCGGGTTCCACGCCTTGACCGCCCACGTCGGCAGCACCTTGAACATGATCTGGCGGAACTGCTCGGCGGTGTAGGTATCGCCGATTGTTCCGCGACGCCGATCGGTGCAGTTCCTGCCGACAATGCCGAGGGTGGGGGGCAATTAGGGCGGCGTCGACTCAGTACAAGACAACAAGAGGTTAAACAAAAACTCACTTCTTGGTGCGGATCATGAACCACACCTCCGACCTGACCACCGATATCTCTCGCATGATGCTCAGCTCCGTCTCCCGGTATATCGTCGCCTCCACTCTCGCCGCCATCTGGCATGCCTTTATGCGCCCGAGGAGCGTGTGCACCGTTGTAGATTGCACAGGCTGTGTTCCTATGGCGTTGTCGTCGTTCTTGCTGGACTCGGCATCGAGATTCAACTCCCGAACCATGTACTTCACGTATGCGCGAAGCCGGGACTTGGTGACCCTAGGGCCGTGCAGCCACACGTACGACCGGAGGACATCGGCCTCTTGGTCCCAGTTTTTCTTCTTGTTGTCCCGGATGTAGTGCCCTATCTCGTCGACGTGCTTAAGCATGTACTCCTGCGGAAGCTTGTTGCGAATTTGCTTCAACATCTTCGCCGCCCACCTCTTGTAGTGATAAATCCACGAGGTGTACTGCCTTAGCGTGCTGTTCCTCTCCACGGTTTGCAGGTGGCATAGGGCGTCCAAGACGAGCACGTCGATGGTCGCGTACACCATGTCTTTCTCGACGAAGTCTGCCGCCCTCCACTGTTCGCGCGGCACCGACAAATTCTCCTGGTCGGCATCCTCGTCCTGTTCGAGCAGATCATCTATGTATTCAAGTTCCCGCCTGAGCCGTTCTTCCAAGGTGCGCTGACTAGTGCTACGCGGCGGACGCTCGTCGTTTTCGTCATCGCTTTCCTCCTCCTCCTCCTCCTCCCCCCCATCCTCCTCCTCATCGACCTCAACCTGGTTTCCAGAGCCGGCCGGTGCCGACGAAGTTCCTGGCCGTCCATTTCGCGTCGGATTCTGTTTTTTATTCTTGTTAAACTCCCCGATCGGCGGTGGGGGAATGTCCTTGGTGAACTCCCCTTCTAGAATCTGCGTCAGCTTGTCAAGATCGTAGAGTAAGGGGAGCGTCTCTTCCTCGGTAGATGTCGGACTGTGGTCGGTGGATGGTCTAGCGTCAGTCATGTCGACGTCGTCCATGTGGCAGCACGTATGTTGCTCTACCGTCGTCCGTGTGCGATGCGGAGGTTGGTAAACCAAAGATGGTACTGAGTCACGGGTGTGGTGAACGCCCGGAGAGTTGCGCGGCGGTCTTCTTCGAATTCTCGGTCGAGTGAGTCTAACTCGGCTTCGACCTCGAGCCGTTCCAGCTCCGCTTTGATGTCGGCGTCTACAGAGTCGGCGGGGGGTGGAATGGGTTGCAGCTGTTGGGCTCTAGGGCGACCTCTGGCCATGCGTCGCCGACTTGCACCGATGTTTCGCTAAAACAGCAGACGTCGACATCGACTACTACTGACCAAGTCGGCAACTGAGTAACCTACAGGCGCGATGACAGACTGGCAGCTGAAAACTCTAAGTGCACAAGAGAGCACGAAGAAACGCAGGAACGGACATGGGAATGAGTAGGCCCGCACGGTCACGGACGGGTATGGTCCTGAGCGACTCCGATGCTGCCGCGCTTCACGCACACCCCTATGCTACTGCCGCCGTGCATGTGTTCTCGCATAGGCGGCGCTCTGCCCGAAGTGCCACGTGCCAAGCATGGCTAATGTTACTTCGCGCTGCACCGAAGGGGCGTAAGCCAGGCCCTTTCCACGGTGGAATGGGCGTGTGTTACGTGGCTTAGGGCCGACATTGGCCTCTCAGTACCGAAATTATAGCATGCCGACCCGAATCTCCCAGGGTCCCGGATTTATTGAAGCCCACCGTGGCAGTCCTAGCGTGGGCGCCGATCGGCGCCGACTTACAATCGGCGTGCTTGATTGTTTCTTTAGGTTCATTGAACCTAGACAGTGTTGAGATTGTGCCGCGTGGCTTGGCTCTCCTATTTTGTCCGCTGAGATTTACTTCTCAGGAATCTCCCAGCGCAAACCTATGTCGTCGGATTGTCGACATTCCCGAGGGCTCCTGAGGCCCCTGGGACGCCATTTGGGCCCAGTTCGGAGCTCGGAGGTCGTCGCGAGGTCGTCAATCCCGAGGAGGGCCGTTGTCCCTTCTGAAACGCGAAATTGGGCGGCGTCTTTCGTCGGCTGAGGTATATCATCCCAAATCCGTTCTGTCCAGTTCCTTGTTCTGTCCTGAATTTGATTGTTGTACACGTAAAATATTCCACCCACCCACCATCCACTCCTCCACGGTTGAGGCGTTCTAGAGGAGATTCGAAACCAAATGATTGGTGCAAGTACACATGATGCCCAACCACTGCGCGCGAATTTGCCTTGCACATTTCAGAAACTCTGCACCCGTGTTTTTTTTCCCACTCAGTTCCACCCAGGTTATAGGCACGCGGATCAACTTGCATTTGGGCGAGAAAACGCCAAAGTATGAATCTTAGGCGCAAAACAAACCATGCTGACCCGGTAGGTTCTTGTTTCTTGGCCAGAAACAAGCATAAACCCCAAACCCTGAACTGACAACAACACAGGCCCACCAGCACTGTTTTGGAAAAAACAAACGAGTTACAACCTGTGTTTTTTAGAAGCACCTCAACACCCTGGCGAAATAGAACGAACTGGGCGAAATGCCTAAAACGTTTATAAGCCCAGAGCACAACCCAAGTAGGGGGGACTCAAACGGGCATCAGGTGTACTGCATGAAACTCACGTGTGCGTCGCACAAAAGGACACGCGGGTCTGGATGGGCATTGGTCCAAAAATTCGACTGAGCTCGGCAGCAATGGCTTGGTGGTCTGGCCACATCGGCAGATCGAAACGAAAACACCAGCCGTGCCGATGTGGAACGATGCCTGGTGATGAGTGACGAGTTTACCCGCTAGGTGTTTCTCGGTCAAAGTTTCATGGCTGGCTAGTGTCGTTGTAAGGGCTGGACCAAGCTTGTGTGTGAGTGAGGTGGTGGAAGACCCTGCTCCTGAAAGGGTAAGGTGAGCACTGAACAATCTCGAGGTGAGTAGGATGCTAGGGTTACCAGCACCGAGCAACCCTCTTGCTGGTGGTGCTCCTTTCTTTCTCGCTGCCCTCAACCCTGGGAAGATGTGGAAAAAAGGTACACCCTAAACCCAGTTGACAATGAGCAGTTTGCAGTGCAAATTCTGGGAATGATTGTGCATTCAACGACGGGCAGTCTAGCAGAACTAGAGAATCGGCAGGATTCTGCAGAATCACAAGTGCCTGCCCAGTTGCGGTTTGGAACGAAGTGCAGTGATATGGTGGTGATTGTATAAACGAGAAAGCTCGTCTGGAACATTTCGATAATGCAACCAGGTGTTCACTGTAACTGCATTAATCTTTTACAACCTATGGTTTATCACAACTTAATACATTATTCTAGTGCTTAGCGCAACCACAGCATCCTCTGCCTACTTATTTTTGTTGCTTCTATTCACAGAAAATCAAAGCACAACTCCTGTGGGGTGTGGTCACAAACTTGACAAAACTGGTACTTTGAGAGTAATTTCTGTTCAATCATTTACAGCAGGTTTTTTGCTTCAGTCCAACTAGGGTAGAAATTATTTTTGAGCCAATCTAGCCTTCATATGAAGTATGTTGGTTTTTTTTCCATTCACAATGAAGTTGTGCATGAAATCACAGCATCACTTAGGGAGGCCCTTCTCTCCATCCTCCTTCTAGCAGCCCACACGAACACAGGGGGGGCTGTGGACATAATTTTACAAAAAGGAGAATGGCTGCATCCACCACTCCCTCCTGCCACACAGCCACATGATCCGTTGGAAGAATAGCTGCTCCTTCGTCTCATCAAACTCTCGATGTCACCACCACTACCTCCTCTCCTTGCCCCTTTCTTGTCGTCTCCTTGTGTTTCTGTGTAATTCTCTAGCGAGGTAACAGAAAACCCACGCCTATGGGCAATATTCCCCTGCTTTCTCAGCATTTGAATCTGTGTGCTTGGAATTTCCCCTTCCGCAGCACCATCAACTCCGCTCTGAGAAGCTGCTTGGGAACGCTTCTGACCCTCCTCATCAGCTGCACCATCTGTTGTGTCACACGTGGCAATGTCACAAGGGGGCGCATCTCCCTCCGCCAAGCAGCACCTTGGCTCCTGCTCCTGACGGCTGTGTTGCAACTTAGCCGAATCAATGAGAGCAGGAGCAGGAGCAGAGATTGGAGAGCACTCCGAGGACGGGCTTGGGGCAACACATTGGTCCAGTGGGGAGCAGGGAGACCACGGATCCCTTATACCAACAGCTACAAAGTCAGAAACTGACGTTCTGCGGGGTAAGTCGGGAAATCGGTTGTCTCTGCTGCTTGGCGCTGACGCAACTTGCCCTGATCTACCCAGAATTCTTGGGTGATTGGCATTGGAGAACGCTTCGTTGTTCGTTTTCGGTAAGGCGAGTCGCGGCGACGCGCGGAATGACGGCTGAACGGCGGGATTGAGTGCTGAGCCAGTTGCACGGTTCCAAGCCTCAAGCCGGCGATTCACGTTGGAAAACCGGGATTTCTCAGCATTCGCAGTTGCTCCAGGATCCATTGTAGTAGCTCTGGTGCGCCAATCACCAAATCAATATGAAGGGACTTGATGTTCCACACTGAGTCTTTCCTCTCGTTGCCTCTGACAGACTTCCCGTGGCGGACTAAATTCGAGATGGTCGACACAATCAAGGAACCGCACCGAAGGAGAACATTAAACAGCTGTGAGGAAAAGATGCCAACTGTTGCTCAGATTACTGAGACTCCCTGCTCAGAAATAGATGTCATATGTGTTGAGAGCGACGGGAGCTGCGTCGGGAGCTTGAGGTGATCCATACATTTTGGATCATACGTGCGAAGTTGCGTAACTCATGGCGGGCGCACTAGTGTACTACAGTAGTGCGAAGCTGAGTCAGCTTTGCCGCACACGTACCGGCCACGAATTGGAGCAAAGCCGGGAAGATGAGTTCCGCCAATGATAGCCGATTCCAGGCTGGAATTTACGCGCAGTTGTTCACAGCTGTATGCCCTGCAGCTCGAGCTATGAACCAAAACAGACCTCTCGAGAAAATAAAATCTAGCGATTCTTCATGTAAAGGCGGCCCCTTCATGTGTCACACCCGGTGGAAGGTTGCACGACTGCCCCCCTACATTTTTTACACCGCTGCTACAGAGGAGGAAACAGGTGAAGCTTCTCCAAAGATTCCAACTTCCCATTTCCTCCCTCAATCCACGCATATCGTCTGTCCAATCCTGCCATATGACGCGTACAGTTCAGTACATTGCCTGGATGTTGCGGCTTGATGTGATAACAGAATCGAAGCGAGTGCCAATGGTAGAAACACACACGTGTCGCCTAGAGTACGACACGCAGTTTAGGGTGGCGATCGCGATCTGAACTAAGGGAAAGCCGCATGGGAAAGCCGCATGGGAAAGCCGCATGGCTCTGCAGCAGCAACGAGGTGCCGAGCTCGAAGGAGAGGCGCGGGGACAACCAAGTTGGTGCAAGGTGGGTAGGGTTTCGATCGATGGAAGGCTATCACGAAGGCTGGGATGATTCACTAGAGATGACATCTGAGGAGTAGTGAGGGCGCATTTAGCGGGAACTTCCCACAATCGGAGGCTCGACCAGGAAGTTCGGTAGAGAAATTCGGAAGACATATGTGGGTTCGAATACGGAGGCTGGTAGCGATGACCTGAGTCTAACACGAGCCCGAATGCGTCCTTCACAAAGGTGATTCTCGTGTCGGGGAACGAGACCCTAGTAGTGGGCAAAGAGACCTCTGGGGGGGAAAGAGACCCCTCGTGGGGAAGAGACCCCTGGTGCGGAAACAGCCCCTAGTAGTGGAAAAAGAGACCTCTACTGGGGAAAGAGACCCCTGGTGGGGAAAGTTGGCATGAGAGACCCGGCTGATCGCAGAATCCGAGTCGAATCACCCACTCAACTCGTCACACTTGGCCCTTACGAAGACAAGTACAGTCAATGCTCATTACAGTCACACCAGGTAGACGGGCGGAATGTTCCTCAAATGGGCAATAGCGTTTCGCTTATACTCGCCAATCTCGTCAAAGGGTAGAGGTGATTGTATGTTTGCACAGATGTAACATGCTTGGCGTTTCCCTGGTACTGTTGACCAGCGTAGTTTGTTCTGTTTGCATGTTCGTAGTTACCACTTTGAAGATCAACTACTGTGCCACCAAGAAACAACAATTCACACAATCAGACACAAACACCCCAACCGCTCATTTGAGCAACTGCAATTTTGCCACGTAGTGTACTGTAACCCAACCACACACAACAAATCCCTCCCCAGCCCCACTCCAACAAAAAACCAACTCGTAACTCCACCTTGGAACCTCACCCAACATTATTTCCACAACACATAATCTCCTCCCCCAGGTTCATCACTTAGCATGGCTTGCAGGACATCTTCACAGGCGGTTCATCCACTCGGCCGATGCGTCGTACGTCCCCATGACGGCGTAGACACCGCCGGCAACGAGCTCGCTGAGACGGCTCGTGCCCGTGATCGACGGCGGGAGCACCCGGCCTCGACCAGGGGTAGAGGACGCGGTGAAGGGCTGCTCGTTGAGGTTCAACACCGGGCTGGCCCGCTCGAGCCGCTCGCGGACAACCGGGTTGCGGATGTCAAAGAGGACCGTGAGATCACGCGGGGCGACATTGATGGACCGCGCGTAGCCGATGAGCATTTCGCACGCCGCACGAGCTGTACGGCGTGAATCGCGGCTGTTCATGTCACCATCAAAGGCGGCCGCCGCTGGCAGTGGGAACTCCCACTCCTCCCTGGTTGGAGGTTCTGCAGGCTCCGACGAGAGGGGATCGGGCCCGCCCATGTCGCACGTAGGCAGGCTGTCGTCCGCTGCGACATACTCCTCGGCGGCGATGGCGGCGCACCCCAGAGAAAGGCCAGTGATGAGACGCCCGACACCCTGCAGCTCATCCTCGCGCGATTCATCCGCTTCTTCAGGAGCCTCGTTATGCCGTGCATAGACGTATTCCAGCTGCATCTCCCACGCATTTGGGAGGCAGCCCGTGTTCCACCAGCAGAGCTGCACCGTCCTGGCTCCGACGTTCATCCATGAGTCGTATATCCACTCCACGACGTCACGCATGTTCGGCTTGTAACGCGCAAGTGACGCCCGGCGACGGTCCTCCTCCCACTGCCTTGTAAGGTCCATGAGCCACAACTTCTTGTACGTGGTCTTCGCCTTCTTGATGATCCCCTGATCAAGGGGCTGCGTGAAGCACGTGGTGTTCGGTGGAAGGTACACCAAACGCACGTTGCTCAACGTGCGTGTGCGGAAGCCAAAAAGGTCCTCCGTCCCGGCCGTCTCGGTGAGCAACGTGTGGCTGCTGGCGTTATCAAGCAAGATGACCACGTCGCGACCCTCAGCATACATAGCCGCGTTCAGTTTCTCAATTAAGTGCGTGAACAACTGCATCGCGAAGGGGGCGGGGTAACAGCCAAGTTACAGTTTCTCACAGGGAGTTGTGACTGGGAGAATGAAGAAGCAAGAAACGCAACAACCAAGTATTCAATTACAGTGTTTCTTCGTACCTCCTTGGTCATCCAACCTTTCCTGTTGGAGCGCCAGTAGCAATACGGCTCAGGGTCGTAATCGGGGCGAAAATCGACGGGGCGCTTCGATTTGGAAATGATCAGGGGACGCCAGAATGTGCTGCCGTCAGCGTTGCAGAGAAATCCGACCGTGAGCCGATCCTTCGCGATTTTACGACCGGCGACGCGAGCACGGCCATATGTCCTCCTCGGCAGGGCAGAGACGTAGACTCCCGTCTCGTCGAAGTTGAGCACGTTGCGCGGAGGGACCGCCAGATGGAGCAACAGCTTTGGCATTTGCTCCCGGCACGTTCTCACGGCATGCATGTCTGCCTCTGCTGCCTCACCAGAAAGAGCGAAGCACCGGATGCCCAGACGCTTCATGGCTCGCCGTACCCATCCGGTCGAACACCGAAAGCTTGGCGGCTTCCCCAGCTCGCGGGCAACAAGCTTGGCGTGGTCACGGATAGTCTCAAGCATGAGCGGCACACCTGCCTTATTGGCCTGGTCGACAAATTTCTTCAGCTCAAGCTCCAAGTCTGGGTGAGCGCCACCACGAACCCGCATGCTGTCAGCATCTTCGCTGCTGGACGAGCTCCAACGAGAATCCTCGCTGAGTATCTTGGTCACCGTGGTACGGTGAGGCCGAATGCCATAACGAGTGAAGCACCAGCGTGCAATGTCCTCGTGACGCAAATGCGGATGTGCCTCTTGCTTGGCACAGATGGCGCGCTTGATGCTGAGAGTAATCTGAGAGCGGTGGCGTCGCTGGCGAGCCATGGCAGCTACAAGTAGAAGAACACAGGCTATTGCTAGTTAATCGTGAATGTCGAGTAAATTTATGGGCTTTACGACTTGCGCGACCATTCATTCAGCAGGGAGTTTGAGCTTGTCGAAGGGCGTGATCAGTTGCGGTGGGCGCAGTGCTATGCAGATGATATTTAGCAGAAATGTGACATTTGGTGTGAACCGGATAGGTACGCTTAAGGCATACGCGAGGTCCCATGAGGTTTTTTCTTGTGTTTTACTTAATTTGGGGGGGGTTAGCGTTTCTGTTCGGGGGAATGGGGTGGTTCGGACCGCGAGTTGACGCTTCATTGTCAATTCCAATGAAGCGGTGATAGGCAGCGCGAGGAAATATAAAACGTCTCGATGCTTCCTTGGGAATCTGAGTGAGGTGGCGGCGCGCATCCACGTCGGCGGCGCAAGTGTCATGTCGCCGCCGACGTGGCGTTCACTCGCATCGCGAAGCTGGTGAAGGCTTCGCTGCAATTCGTTCTAGCACTCGCAGAGATTGCTGTAGTGCTTGTCCGTTCCGCAAGCCTCGAAGCGCCCTGTAAATTTGCATATCAACAGGCACAACAACACAAACTTTCGAGTGACTGTACCCCTTGTGATATCACCCGGTAAACCACACAATTGTGATTAAATTTCTCACTGTGATGACCAAATTTTGTGTGATAGACTGAGCATCGACTGTACAGTACAGTACATGCCGACCGATCCCATCCCATCCCATTGCAAATGCCGTGCATGCTTGCAAGCTGCAACCCAGCCATCCCATAGCCCCGCCTCCTGAATTTCCATGGTGCGGCCAGGCTGATTACAGAGCTTGTGGTCCACAAGCATCGCAAGAGCTGATATTTTCGATGGTCAGAGTTTTTCCTGAGCTGTAAACCCGTCTACCCGCCTCTCAGCGGGGCAGATTCGAGTGGTGCAAAACTTATCCCCGCTAGCCAAGTTTCTCCTGAATGACCAGCAATCAATTGGAGTCATGAAAACTCATGTGATGTTGGCGAGGTGACTCGATAGAGGAGCAGCTAGTTGCGGTTTGCGCCAGATGCATGTGTGTGAGCTCTAGTTTGTGTTCTCTTTAGAGGGCGCGTCACTTAGAAGTTAGAACAAGGCTGATGTTCTAGCATGCAGAAAGTTAAATGCCTGTCACCAAATTGGTAACAAACCACCAAATGTCAAATGCATTAAAAATTCTGTCACCCAGAACAACCCCACGAGATTATCCAAGCATGGATTGTTACGATCTGAAGTTTTATGAGAAGGCATTCCTGTATGCTGCAGGAGCCGACTCTACAGAGTACGAAGTCGAGGAGTCAGAAGAGTCGAAACTGTTGGGCTGAAAAGGCCCTAAGGAACTTTACAGAGGATAACTCTGGGTAGGATACTTTGTAATAGCGGAAGCGTTTAATGAAGCTTTGTGAACCGACCTTGCACTAGTGTGTGAGAGCAAAAAGGATTAAATTATAGTGAAATGATACAAGCTTATATAATAATACAGGGAATATGAAGAGATACGGTTATAACTACTTTTACTGTTGCTGTTGCGGTTCGATACAGTGCGACTCGGGCAACTGCTCTGTAACGAGTCAGTTGTGTGTCCTTAACTGTCGCGCTGTTCTTGTCAGGTCAAGGGTCAGCGACCTTTGACTTTCGCGTAACTTCCTGCAGCCGATTCAACCTCCGAGGGTTGACTCGCAGGTGCTTCGGTGTAGGTTGCCTCGCTTCTGGTGCAATGTTTTGACACTGCTGAAGCGTTTAAGTTCCATTGTTTCCAACACTCCCCTTCGCTTCTGGAGTGTCGCTACTGGTGACGTGGCTCTGTCCAGTCAGCAGCATGCAGTATTCGAACTTCTGCTTTCCGAGCTTCTTGGTCAAGTAATCGGCTGCCATCTCAGACGTGGGACAGTATGACAGTTCGAGTTTCCCCTTCTCGATCTCGTCCTTCACGAAGAAATAGCGCAGGGCAATGTGTTTCGTCCTGTTTGCGAAGCCGTTCTTGTTGGCGATGCGAATTGCTGACTGGTTGTCGCAGAACACGGTGAAGCTGGGTAACTCGGCTAACTTCGCTTCTTCCAGCAGTTCGCGAAGGTAAAGTCCCTCCTCGGTGGCTGAGCAGAGTGCGATATATTCCGCTTCAGCTGAAGACAGTGCGATTAACTCCTGCTTACTCGACTGCCAGGAGATAGGACCGATAGGCTCGAGGCGGTAGACATAGCCGGTGCGTGAGCGCCTATTGTCGGTGTCGCCGGCGTGATCGGCGTCGACGTAGCCGATTAGCTTGGTCGGTGTAGTTCCGTTTTTGTGATAAGTTAGTCCGATCGTCGCGGTGCTGACGAAGTAGTGGAGAGCGCGATCGAGTTCCGCCAGATGCTCTGCTTCAAGCTTCTTGAGATAGGTGGCGAGCTGACTCGCGGAGTAGGATAAGTCGGGACGGCATGTGACTGCTGCGAAGAGAAGACACCCGAGCTTCTTCTGATAGTCGCGTATGCCGGCAGGCTTGAGTAGAATAGATCGTTCCTTTTCGGTTCCTGACGTGTAGCGGTAAGGCGTGGAGAGGGCGCTTGGTGTGAGACCGAAGCGTTTCGCGATGGTGTCGGCGTATTTCTCAGCGCTGAGGTAGATCGCGTCCTTCCCTTCTCGGATGTTGAGTCCGAGATATTGCGTGACGGTAGATGAGACGGTGAGGGTAAGGTCCTTCTGCAGCTCCCCTTCGAACCACGTGGCGATGCCGTCGGTTGACCCAATGTAGAGGAGATCGTCCACGTAGACGATCAGGAGAACATAGTCGCTTCCCTTTGTGAGGCGGTACATGCCCTGGTCATGCGGGAGTTGTTTAAAACCGATGCGGATAAGGCGGGTGTGCAGGTACTGCTGCCACAGTCGCGGTGCCTGCTTGATCCCGTAGAGCGACTTAAGCAGCTGACACACTTGATTGGGTTCACCGTGGGAGCCGTGCGGGAGCTCGACGAAGATTTCTGCATCCACAGGTGCGTAGAGAAAAGCGTTTGCGACGTCGATTTGTCGCAGTTTCTTTTTCTTCATGGCGACGATGGCGATGAGGATTCGGAGTGAGGTGTGACGGCTGACCGGAGCGAAGGTTTCGGTGTAGTCTCTTCCGAGCTCCTGGTCAAAGCCGCGCACGACCCAGCGAGCTTTGAATTTGTCGATGGTGCCGTCAGCTTTCGTCTTCACACGAAAGACCCATTTCCCGGTAAGGATAGTCTTGTTTTGTGCTACGCCGATGGGAATGATTTTCCAGGTGTTGCGCTCCTCCAGTGCCTTCAGCTCTTTGTCCATGGCTTCACGCCATTTCTCCCTATGTTCCCCCCCCAGAGCCTGTTGAACCGTCGCAGGCTCTTTAGGAATGGCGGCGCCATGGACTGCGGTGACGAGTCCAAGGATTTGGAGGCCACTCTGTGTGTAGCGGGGGAGTGTGCCGGGGAGAGTGTTGTCCTCGGGATAGGCTGCTTCGTCTCCCTCTTCTGGATCAGGTATGAAGTTTGGTCCTATGCGTTCAGCTTTGTCGGTGTTGACTCTTGCAGGTGTTACGTAACCGTTGTCGGCGAAATGGTAGTAGATTTCGGCGTTGTTACTGTCGCGCGGGTTTTCGTCATCCATGGGGACGTTGACGGAGCAGTACGGGAGTGGTCCGGCTGCTTCCGAGGCTCCTTCCACGTTCTGCTCGTCCCAGTCAGCTTCGTCTTCTGCCGATGCGAAGGCTCGGTTGCCACTGAAACCACCTGTGGGGTCTCGGTTCTCGTCCAGGTTGGCAAGATAAGTTTGCATGGTGAGTCGTTCGTAGAAGATGATGTCACGTGCTGCCACTGTTTCCTTCGTGTGGACGTCGAAGATTTTCCGTGCGTTGTAGTGTTTTTCGATGCCCAGGTGTAGCCCCCACTGTGCTCGTTGCGAAAATCGGCCGGCCCGTGCAGATGGTGGTCGGTACTGTACCATGCACCCAAAAACTCGTAACATTTTTGTGTTGCCCAATTTCCCGGTCCACAGCAGATGCGGTGATGCGTTGTTCGGGAGTGACGACGAGGAGAGCAAGTTGTGTAGCATTACAGCGTGGTCCATCGCTTCTGGCCACTAGTGGTTGGGAAGCCGCATGCCACGTAACAGTTTCCGCATGGTGTTTTGGAGGGTCCTGTTCAGCCAATCTGCTACACCCTGTTGTTGATGGGCGTAAGGAAGGGAGATGAGGCGCTTGATGCCTTTCTCAGCCAGGTAGTTCTTGAACCTCGTCGAGGTATATTCTCCTCCTCCGTCTGTTTGGAAGCTTTTTAACTTGACGCCCGATTCCCGCTCTGCTACGGGAAGCCACGCGACGAACGCCTCGAACGCCATATCTTTGCTTGGGAGATTCAGGTGCCAGACGTAGCGTGTTGCGGCGTCGATGAAGGTAATCGTGTAGAGGTACGTATTCTGCCCTGGTTCACGGTTGTGTAGAGAGCAATGTGCTTTATCCTGTGCTCCAGTCGCTGCTCTTGACAAAAGGCCAGCATGGCCTTGTTGTCTACGTACAGGACTGGAGGAGAACGAGGCGGCTCTCCAAGGTCGGTCAACAGGTAGGTGAGCCAGCGTAACTCCTGTGCAGCCATAGCCCCGGCGTAGATCTCAGCCTCACAACTGGAGCCGAGATTAGAAGACGAGCGGGTAGCCCGCCACGAAACAGAGCCGGAACCAAGGCTGAAGGTGTAACCCTGTGACGACCGCCGCGTAGCCTGGTCGTCAGCCCAAGAAGCGTCCGCGTGCCTAGTGAGGACCACTGG